GGGGGTTGTGGGGGGGCTTGCAATGTGTTCTTTAGGGCAAAAAGTTGAGCACATTAAAACGCTCGACGATAACCTCCCAGGCAACATGTCTGTTTATTGGAAGGGGAAGGGTGATTGCACAGTGTTGATACGACTAAAGAGGAGTCGTGGAATACAGAAGGGCAAATGGTAAATACAAGATAGACACAGCAGTGGGGACATAAAAAATATACAGTTGATTCTTCTGTAATAACTACCCGTCCAAGACAATTGCCGGTTTAAACGACCACTTTCCACCACCCTCCCCACCCCCCACCCCCAACCAAAGTAACTTGTTTTTCTAGATCATAAAGACACTGTCCAAGACGTTCAAATGATGAAGACAACTACTTTCTCCACGACAACGGGTGGCCGTCTTGGACAAAATCAACAGTACCAAGGTAACACGACTTACCAGTGGCGCTCGCCTGACCTCCACACTGGACACTGTAAGACGAGCTCGTCGCGTCAAAAGATACACAACGGAAATGTACATAAGATCTTCTCTAATTCTAACTCTAAAGTTCGTTCGATAGCCTTGTTTTCGAGAAGGCTTTAACCTCTTCACTAATGTGTAGTAGAGACAGAAAGAGACAGAAAAGACCGGAGTGAGTATAAGTTAAAAACACACATCTATACTTGCAAAAAAAAGTACCAAGATCACATGAAAGAGAGACAGACACACACTCGCTCACATACACACAAGCGCGCGCGCACACACACAGTCAGACATACAGGCAGACAGACAAACAAACACATAGATAAGATAATGGTCATTAACAGCTTGGAAACAAAAATAGCAGGATGAACAAACACAAACAACAGGCTGATAGTACAGAATGAGGACCTACCATGGGCACCTTCCAGCTTCTCACAGCCCTTAAACCAAACGGACTCTTAACTTGAACTCATAAAAAAAACAAGTTAAACAATCTTAACAACCAGTGAAATATTACACCATTTACGAGGCTGAAAGTGACGACGAAGAGTGAAAAAGGGGCACATTCCGAAGAGTGTGAGCACACACAGTAACCACATTGCATTGCACCGCACAGCAGTTGGGGGAAAAGATTTGTGTTGCACACGGAAAGAACAACACCCAGTGTACAACGGTAAAACGACATTTTTGAGCAAGCATTCTCAAAAACACGTACATGTGTGTCGTACCCTGTCATTCAATCTACCCACACAAAAAAAGAACGAAAATTTGCTGTCTCGACCTCTATCGCATGCTTGGAAGGAATGGCGGTCACAGACAATGGAGTGACGTGGAACAATCATTCAAAGGGGAGGAAACGTGCGTCAGGGCAGATGCTATTCTTCTTATCTCTCTACCACTGGGGCCTCACTCAAACTCAAATCACCAGGGGGCCGCTGAAGAAAGCAAAGTCTGGGCGAGTCTAGGCGAGTCTGGACCGCTTCAATTATTCCAAACGAAAAAAAAGGTCTCCAGTTGCTTTTTTTGCTCGCTTTTGTTTTAAGTAGGCTTACAACTGACCTACTCTTCTTAATCTTCATTAATTGCAGATACGAACAGGAACGGTCCTGTAGTAGCCCATACGTCATTTTTTTTTTTATAATGAAAATCCAAGGCAACACCCCAAACATGCGGGCCGCGTTAACACTAAATGTAGATGTGAAATAGCGACCACAACATATTTTTGTAATGCAGGCACCAATAGGCCCGCGGGCCGCTAGTGTGGGGCAGCTGCTCTACCAAAACCACAATCCCAAGCTATTGAAAAGACAGTTCCAGTTCCTCATTCTATCATGGGTCTATTCTCTTCACTGCATTCTTTCCCTAAAGCCCCGACAGTGAAAGTATTGACTTCAAAGACGCCCATCTCGAGGCGCCTCCTGTGGTTCTATTAACAAGTCCATTTCAACACAGGTACGTTATCGTTATACGATAGTGTGGTGGGAAAGGGAGAAAAAAAGGGAACAGGGAGGGGGGTGGTAGAGGACACGACGTAAGTCATTGAGAATGAGTATTTTGGTCATTTGACAATGCTTGAAGACGTGCTATTTGGGGGTATTTTCGAAATGTAACATATTATTTTTAACTTCATCGTTCATACAGATTTGTTCATTCACCTTTCTTTCTAGGAAACTCAAAAAGAAAGGAAACAATATATGCATGCTATGGAACATGCGAATTTGTGTTTCTGATTGACATATTATGATGGTTAGAAATGTGCCGCACCACTGCCTTCGGTCTCCTGACCGGACATTTTTATGTCTGCTAGGTCCTTAAAAAGTTAATCTCTATTCATGAAAGAACTCAGAGAACGCTCAAGAGAACGGTAAGAACTGAAAATTCCCTGAGAAAATCCAGCTATACGGCGTACGGGTTTTGAACCCAGAACCTTTGGAATACGAACTAGTGTTATAACCACTCAGAACGCCACATAACGTTTAGGTTATAATCAGGATGTTGACTGTCTTGAAACCTTGAAACCTGCAACTGTCTTCTTCAGCTAACTTTTATTTTCGTGTCTTCCAGTTAAACTACAAATAACAATGAATAGAAGTAGTAGTAGACACATGGAAAGCACGGTATCAAATTCCTGTCTTGTGACATGATGTTTCTGTCAGTAAACGTTTTAAGGAACTTGCAACACAATTAAGACATGCAAGTGCCGAAGATTAGAAGTGTTATAAGAGAGAAACAAACATAAAAAGAAAGAGGAGAGGAAAGGAAGATAGATGTTTTATACGAAAGAAGGGGTAAAGCTCACCAGAGCACCCGCCAACCACCCACATGTGACATGACGTTTGTGTTCACTCATGATAGTGTACTCTACAAAAAAATTCGAATTTCCAAATAGAAAGCCTTCAGCAATACCAAAAATAACAAAGGAGGCTAAACGATCGTGACTTAAGAGCATAGATGTAACTCTATGCTTGAGAGAGACACATCGCAATATACAGTGAACTGTAGCGTGCTGCATTCTTTTTGCTCAACCGCTCTACGCAAGCAACACTAACAACTACGTCATTCTGAAAGTGTGAGTCGTGCGCCAGCTCAATGCGATGTGCGACCAGTTAAAAATAACAATAACAATAGAACAACACTCTTACAACGTAGCCTACATTTCGAGAAGTTCTGAACAAGTGAACAAAGGAATCATATCATTTACAACACCAAAGATCTCAATTCTACCGGAATAAATTTCATATTGAATTTTTCTTTAACGAAACAGTCCCCTTTCGTACTGTCTTTTCCTTTAACGAAAGATCTTCATGGGCGAGTGAAAGAAGCAACTAACTCCATATCTCTATAGTGGTGAAACTCATTTAGCTTTGAAAGATCGAAAACATGAAACAAGATATGTCAAACTAAAATGATCCTGGCCTTATCACAACGCCAATTTCGGATCAAATTCTCGATTTACGAGCAAAAATCAAGCTGGAATTCAGAAACAAAACCTTGATGCAAACTCATAAATAACACGAGTGTGCGGTGCTCTACCAAGACCGCTGTGGTTTAGTCAAACAAGGTTCAGTTTACGTGGTAAAAGTTAACTCTGACTGCTGATCCTAAGCCCTATAGCAGACCTGTATATTATGCTTAAACGAAGTTGTTCTAACAAAACAATATTCAATTTGGCATCAAGTTCGGGTTGAGAATGAAAAAAAAATGTTGATCCTTATACTTATAAATAAGGTCAAAAAACAAACAAACCGCAAACCGACCTGATACAACAATCAGTCCGACAAAGAAGAGACAGCAGTGGGCGTTGCACTTATTGGGAAAGGAGACGGACCGAAAAACAAGAAAAAAGAAAGAAAGAAAAACGAGAGTAATAACATTACAGACGAAACAACATCTCGACACCGGTCAAACCTCAGGAAAAGGGGTCAGGGCGGAAGGGGTGAGGGGAGAACACTTAATGACATATAAAAACCTCACAAAGAAATCAATTCTAGAAGATTTTTTTAAAAAACGACAAACGTCTAACTTACATGGTTCATAGTCTGCGCCAGCGTAGAGAGAGACGATAAAAACACGAAAGAGGAACATGATTAAAAATCGAGGAATTACAAAGATAACTTTCTGGGTGTAATTGGGTTTTTTTCATGAGCGTGTATGTGTATGTATGTGTGTATGTGTGAGTGTGTGTGTG